CGTGGTGTTGCCAGTTTTTACGGGCTCAGTAGCTTCACACTCCTACAAGGGGGAGGGCTCTTCCACCTACCCTGGGGAAGGGGCTGGGGTTCCCAGGAAGTGGGCCACCACCCACTCTTTGACCTTTTGTGGTCAGCCTTGGGACTGTCATGGCGCCTGTGGGCATGTTATTTAGCACGCTAATATGTTACAATGAGCATATAATGAAGCACAAGGCCTGCTAGAAATCAAACTTCCCACCATCTTAATCCTCAAGGCCTCCTGGGAGTTGAATCTTCCACCATTTTGGTGTTAATTGCTGTCAGTCCTTGAATGGCTGTGCCCTGCCCCCTTCCCTGCTGTCTCAAAGTCTCACCTTGGGTCTGGTGGGGAGAAGACACAGTGAGAACAGACTCTCACACCTCAACATACAGGAAGTCGGAGGAGAGAAGGAGGAGAATCCTGGCAGGTACTTGCTTATCGCCGTTGGGTCAGCGAGTTGGGTCGTGGCTGACTGACGACAGGAATTTCACGCCAATACATAGAATGACTCATTTTAGATTGATTGCTTCGGTCAGATGTTCAGCAGTTTAACCTAAATCTCTTGCTCTCTGCCCGCCCATGCTGTGGCAGGTACTGTGTAAGGCATGGGAACGTGGCGCTCAACAAAAGCAGGTATGCCCCCCGCCCCCGTGGAGACTGGTTTTTGTTTCTGGGGAGAAGTAAGTAGAAGGACAGGCACCAAGAGAGCTGGGTGGGGTGAAGAGGAAGCCGTGCGTGAGGAGAAGGCTCCTCCCCAGACTGGGGGCTGGTGAGGACCAGAGCCTTTGCTTCCTGCACATTGTGACAGAGAGAAAAGGCCAGATCAGCAATTAACGGTAGAACTAGTTTTTTGAAGCCTTTCTGGGACACTTGAGTTAATCTTTGTTCACTCACTTTTCTCCCCCGAGCTCTGCTTTTCCTGAGACACGGACTGACTGAACGGGCCTCTTCCCTTCACCTGGGGGAGGCCCCTGTGGTATTCCACAGAGGAGAGGCCTTGGGAACAGGACCTGTGGGGATTCGGCCCTGGTCTGTTAGCTGCGTGCCCTGTGCCCTGAGGCTCCATCGAGGCGCTGGAGGGCTCCCTTCCTCCCTCACCCACCCCACTCCACCCCTCCCCCTTCAGCCCCGGGGCTCCATTTTCACGACTCATAGATCTCTGTTACCAGAGAGTAGGCCCTTGTCTCCCACAGGAAAGTGAAAGCGAGCTTATTTAGCAAGATACACCCTCCCTAGACAGAATATGGTCTTTCTCAGCAGGGAGAGCAGCCCTGGGTTGTGGGGGTGGCTAGTTTTTATGAGCTGGGTAATTTCCTATGCTAACAAGTGGGAGATTATTCTGTTCTGTTTGGGGGAAGGGGCAGGGATTTCCAGGAATTGGGCCCCTACCCATTTTTCGGCCTTTCATGATCAGCCTGGGAACTGTCTTGGCACCTGTGGTGCATCATTTAGCAGCTAATGTCTTACCATGAGTGTATAATGAAGCTCAAGTTCCCCTGTGAGTGGAATCGTCCACCATCTGGGGCCTAGTTGGTTCTAACCAGTTTGTATTCTACCCTTGATGGCGATGTCATTCTCTTAGCGGTTGTGCCCTGCCGCCTTCCTCCTGCCTCACTCCTACAGTAGATGTTTATTTGAAGAAATGATTCATCTTCTAGAAAAGTAATTTCAAAACCAGTTACTGAACCTATAGACAACTAATTTTCTTCATATGCAAAATAAGTCACAGCCTTTCTGAGCTTCAGCTCTGAGAGTCTGACCCTAGGATGGGGATCCTCAAACTTGAAAGAGGAAATAAATGAATCACCTGGGAATCTTGCTAAAAATACACAACCTGGGCCTTTGTCCTGAGATTCTGGTAAAATTATGGGACCAAGAATCTACTTTTTCAGAGAGTATCTCCCGTGATTCTTATGGTGGTGGTTCATGGTCCCCTGCCCGAGGGGAACATGGTCTGAAGAAAGCAAACGTAAAACCTGTAAGGGGTACTTTTTCTTGTCCATCCCCAGGACATTGATAAGCCCTGCCTGTCCCCTCCTTTAGAGTTGCTTTTCTCACATTTTTAAAGTCTTTCTGGGAGTCTCTTCTGACCTCCCTAACCTTTGACGACCTGGCTGGAAGGACCTGTTACTCAGTGCTCAATGGTGAGAAGTCCTCCTGGGTAACTTCCGGGTCTGGGAAGGGGAAGAACTGGAAACCAAGTCTAGGGCGGGGGCTTTCTCTGTGTTTGGTCACTGAGTGATTCTTACCTGGGCTCCATTTGTATCCCCAGAAAGTGGAGTCATGAGCAAGTCCTGCTCTAGCTGGAACATTCAGGTCTTTGGGTGAGCTCTGCAGACATCGGGAGAACACAGTTACAAGTTGTACCTGAGGACCTGAATTGCCCTCTTGGCTCCTGTTCTTCTCACCTGTGCTCCCCCGTCTCAGGGGTCCACCCATCCAAGGAGGCCCCTTCAGGATGTGGCTGGGGGCGATAGGCGGTCTTGCGGGTTTTAGTCTGATTCTTTTACCTGTCACTGTTGTTGAATTAATTATTCCTGTAAACACGCTGTTCTGTGTTGTCTCTTCCTTTTTTGATTATAGGAAACGTGTTTAGAGGCTTAGCTTTCCGTCCTAGTCTTCCAGATGCTCTTGCAAATTATGAAATGGGGAAGCATGCAGTTTCTTAGAAAACTTACTCTGCAAAACTTACAGTATGGTAATACTGTAGCAGATTTTGTTGGATTGGCATTATTTCAAATAATTAAATTTTTTAAACAAAAACAGTAGTGTTTATTATATACAAATTTTAACGAGATGCTTCATAAAAGAAGCCTTGAAATCTAAAATCAAGTGGGGTTTATGTACTTCCTATACAGTTGAGATGTAATGGTATTATTTCTAGTTAGCCTGCTTTTTAGTGAAGTTTTACTTATGTTTATGGAGAATAATGCTCCCTTTTCAAATCATTTGTTCCCTTAATCTTATTTTAAAAGCTCTCCAAGAGACTAAGGGACAAGAAATTCAGAGAGCCCATCAGCAGTGCGTTGCAGAAGCTAGAGCAGCACGGCGGAAGTGTGAGTAGAACGTTACTGCTTAAGCCGCAATGGTTCACTCTTAAGTCGTGTCACAGACGGACTGGGTAACGTGTGTTACCGCACTTCAGACACAGGTAGCCGTGTGGAGTTGATGCTGTTAACCTCATTTCAGAGCTCAGGGCTTCTGTCTTGGCGAGGTCCGTTTTTCAGCGCTGGGACTCAGACCCAGGTTGTATGAATGTAGGGCCTGTGCCCTTCCGCTGTGCTGACCGCGTGCCCCCCCCCCACCCCGTCCCGTGTAGTACAGCAATGCAGGTTTTTTCTTTATTTTTATTTTTGCTTTGACCATTGGGAAGTTCAGAAGACAAAAGGATTGACTTATCTCATTAAAGAACAGGTTTTTTTTTTCCTTTCATTTGCCACCTTTTCTGTCTAAAACGTTTGCAATCTGCGCATCATCAAAGACTGAGATGAGGTTTCCAGGTGGCTGCGTTGTCATGTCTAGAAGCACGGATCTGGAACTCGCCCACATGCACACGCAGAGGAGGGATTCAGCTGACTGTTCTAACTTGCAAGAAGATGCAGGGTTGTGGGGGGTTTCATTACTGTCTGTGTATTGTCAATAACTAGGTTAATGGAATTTTTCTTGGAAATATTTCCGTAAAGCAGTGATCTCATCGTGTTTTGGGGATTGCGTTCAATCAGATCTTAATGATAGAGTTGCCCGTGATTATCTTACCATTGCAGGACTTACATTGTAGGTACTTTCTAAAGGAATTAATTACATTAAAAAATTGCGTGATTGAGAAAAACTTTAAATGGCAGATGTTTTAGTTTAAGCGTTGCCTAAATTACCTAATTTGGCTAATTTCAGTGACTTTTTAAATTGATTATATTTTCATGATGAATGCCTAGAATAAAGTTTATGAGGAGAAAGTCAGTCCCTCCTCTACTAAATAATGGATTTCTTTTTGGTGCATGGGTCTCGGGCAAGGGTTAGCACTCCCAATACCTTATTGAGATGCCAAGAATCATCCCACTGTCAATCCAGTGTCCCTGCCAGCAGAAAGGAAATTCTTCTTGCTTTCAAATGTGATTCCTGTTCTGAAAATTGGAATGCAGAGTAATTTGCCCGTTCCTCCTGGTGAAATGCGAGTAAACAGGTGTTAAATAATGATGTAGTAAGGCTTGCAGTCTGAAACTCTCTCCCGATGTTTTCACAAGTCCTGCGGCCCGGTGTGGGGGATGGGCAAGCCGGGGGGGGGGGAGGAGGGCAGGCCCAGCGGGTTGGATTCGTGTGTGTGTGTGTGTGTGTGTGTGTGTGTGTGTGTGTGTGTGTGTGTGTGTGTGTGTGTAGAAGGGATAGTTTGTGAGTAACTACAAGTTAGACATAGCGCGCTAGCACTTGGAGGGGATCACAGGATGTAGCTCACCAATCCGAGGGTCCCAGAGACAGCTAGCACGGGAGTCCTCTTATTGCCACTCGGTCTCATTAGTTTTTAATCATGCTAATCGAGAATTTTTAAACAGATTTTGAAGTTAAAAGGGCTATTAAGTATTGTTTATTCCATCAGGCTTTTTCTCTTCTTATTCTCTCCTTCTAATGTCTTACATAATATTTTAATAATAATTGATGTAATTGCAAAAATCAAAGACTTTCCCTTAATAATAATAATTATTATTATTTTTATTATTTTTTAAATTATTATTTTTATTATTATTATGCTTGCTTTTGGTACTTGATAATCCATCATGAAATTAATATTCTTTCCTTTCTAAAAACTTAAATGTTCATATCTTTTCCTTTAAATATTGGAGATGAGTCTTTTGTAATAGATTCTCCTTAATATTATAGTTTCTCATTTCTTGGGGCTTGGGTGTGTCACAATGATAAAAAGACTCAACTTCTGGGGACACCAAAATATCAGTTCCAGACAGACACAGTGTCATTTTCTTAGAGCTAATCAGTTTACTATCTGCTTAACTTGAAATTGGTTCACTGTTAACCTGATTTAATTTTCTTTCTAAATGATATGTACATCTGTCTTGGAAAAGACACATACTCACACACATCCCAATCTTTATTGAGCCGGTGGGAACTTCTTACATGACAGGTACTCTACTGAGTACATTTTAGACATTAAACTCATTTAATCATCACTGCAGCCTTCAGAGGTAGACTTTACTGTTACCTCCTTTAAAGATCTAACAGTTGAGGTGCCGAGAGGTGATTAGCCCAAGATCTGGCAGTGACGTGACTGGCGGAGCTGGGTGCAAGTACCCGTTTCTGCTTCCTGACTACTTCTCTGGTTAAATATTTTTAAAACACACTAAGAGAGAACCTATATTTTATTTAACTCAGGAAAAGTTTCTGCTTTGTGTTCCATCTTTCTGCTCTCATCCCATTTTGCTTCTTTGGAGTTTGGAACACTTTTTAAGGCATGCTCCTGCAAATGTCACACCTGTTCGGGGAACCCTGCAGGGTCCTCATGAGGCTACATTGTTTTCTCTTGACAGGGAAGCCTTATGATCATCAAATCTAAAATTCCAACATACTGCTCCATATGCTGCTGAAGAAGGAAGCCAACAAAAATCTCCTCACTCCCGGGTGGCAGGTGCTGAGTGCTGACTGGGTATCTCTGGAACCTTTTCGAGTCACTTCAGTTTATTCTTTTGTACATCACACACGCCATTCATTATTTACTGGCTTCAGATGAGTATACACAGTTGCACTGAATCACAGTACAAGTTATTCATCAAAAAGAAAAGAATGGTTAATGATGGAAAACTATTAAAAAAAAGTTCTATAATAGTACTATCTTGTGGGGTTTATTTTTTCATATCTTTATGGTTTGCGTGAACAGCCATTATTGGGGTTTATGGTGAATGTGTTTGTATGGACTTTCTAGTGCCGTTTTTGTACAAATTTTTTATAATCAGTTTGTAGCTGTGCACTTATTTTTAGACATTTTCCATTTCCTGGGTTTTAAATTTATCAAGTCTATGGAAATTTAAAATAGTGGGCAAACGTTTGTGAATTCATTGTGAATTATTTTGTAAATACATATTTTACAATGTAGAATGCTTGGGGAATTTTCTTTCCAAAGTATTCCAGTTTAAGAAAAAAATTTTTCATGTGTAAATTTTCTTATAAATATGTTGTTTATTACAACTTATTAAAACTACCTAAAGTTTAGGTGTTAATTGTATTTACATTCATGTTATTTTTGTATTTCATAGTCTGAAAATACTGGTATTCAGTACATGAAGATACTCAGAAATTAAAACCTTAGAACTCATATGTATTCAGTGATTTTGTTGTGCTTGCTTACTTATGTTTAACAGTGGATTCAATTTTAAAAGCTTTTCACACATAACTTACAGGCAGAGTTCTGAGTGTTGATGTAGTAGCAGGTGACTCTGGATCATTCCACAGAGGAGCAGAGGGAGAGAGATGGAAGACAAGGAGGAGGCCTTCCATCTCTGGGCAGGAAGAGAGCCCCTGGGGACCTGAGCAGCCACACCACATTCCTGGACGGAGGCTGACAGGATGGAAATTTGGAGCAGCAGTGTTCTGTCCTGCAGCATTGGAGAGCAGCCTTTCTCTGCTCATCCCTCAGACACCTGGAGTCACCTCTTTGTAAGTCTTCTTTCAGGTAATATAAAATACAAGGAATTTCTCACAGGTCCTCGTTCTCCCCCAGAGCAGGTGTCCTTCCGGGTGGCCTGTCTGCTCCACCCTCTCCTCGGGTCTCTGCTCTCTGGTCACATCCTCTCTCACATCGTATCAGCCTACCTCCCCTCCGCCTTGCTCTCGCTCCCTTTCGTTGCACTTAGCGCCACCCAAACAGAGATCTCCGCAGTTCAGAAAAGCCATTAAGAAAAAGGTAATATTTTCAATCTAGTAATTACAAAATGTGTTGAAATAAAGACCTGTAGCACAGACAGTAGAGTTATAAACATTTTATTTGCTTTTATTTTTTCTTTTTGAAATACAAAATGTGCACATTGAGTTTACACAAACACGCGATGGCAGATCTCAGTGTACATGTATTGTACTACTCTGAACTTCTACACTGGTGCTAGCAGGGCAGCTGTCAACATCCTCTCTCTACACCAGAATAGGTACCTGATTTATTGTTGCAAAGACAGTTGCAGGTCTCCTCCTACTCTAGCCTCTTGGTCTTTGATATTTCTGCAAAACAGGAGGGGGTGTGTATCATTAGTAATATTGTGGCAACTTCACAATGTTGGCCTAAGATCATTAAAAATAATCGGAATGACTGGAGTTTTATGATGAGCTAAATCATAATACAGCCCAGGGGAGCTGCTTAGCACTTACATTCATCTTCTACTAGATTTCAGTATTATAGTTCTCAAGGTAATGGAATCACTGGTGCTTTCAGAGTGAACTCTGCTTGCTGTTTGTTCCTAGTAGGCATTGGGGCAGTCAGGGTTTCTTTGTCCCTGATGGCATGTAATCTGACGGTGCCGGGAGGGGGTTTGGGAAGGAGGACGCGCCAGGCCTTTACTGCAGTGAAGGGTTACTTGTTGCTAAGCGTCACTGTGTACAGAGGGCAGATCTCCTGGCCCTTTGCATAACCCTGTGGACATCCTCGCTTTGTCTCAAACCTTCTTGGACCTCCACTTAATGACACAATAGGAAACGGTCAACCTGTCGGATTGAACAAATCGAAAATTACAGACATCATGTAGGCCTTGGCTATAATATGTATTATGAAAAATTAGGAAATGCTTATTAAATAAGCTTTATTAGGCATATGCGGACATCTGGTGATAAACTGATTTGGTTCATGTTATAAAAAATGCCAGGTAAATGAATGTCTTTAACAGAAGGCAGCAAATCCATAGAAACTGGGACTTGGGTTTGTTTGTTTTTCTCAGTTGTCGTAATCTTGTCTTGTTTCCTTAAGGTATAAATGGAATTACGGCATACAAACATGGAAATTAATTTCTGGAAATTAAATGCAGATGCCAGTATTTTAGAAAACAATTTAAAATCCTGGGGATGAATACATACAAATGAGTAGTAAAAACCACTGATGTGTTAAAATCACTGATAATGTGAAAGCCTCAATAATCCCATGGCTACAGAATCAGTAAACCCATATGCCAGGTTCTGCTCCCTTTGAATATTCACAGGGTATGAAATGACTTAGAACATCCCGTGAACTCAGCGGCATCATGAAAAGGATGCAGATTTATAAATGGAAAACTCAAATCTCTTGAGGGTTGCTTTATATTAAAACAAAGCTAGTTTGCATAATATGCCTCAGTGTAAAGCTGAGCAATCTATGCTAAGAGTGGTAGCTCCAACTTCGTGTGTAGAATAGTTCACGTTTGTCTGTTGGATCAAGGACACGTTCAACAAGTTAAATCACGTTTTCAAAGAGCTGCATGGAGCGCATGATGTTTTCATCCTGTAAGGGGAAAAGGGCGGGATTCAATTCAGCATTTCTGCAAAGGAGAGTGCCCTCCGAGTCCTGCCTCCCCCGCCGAAACCACCTGTGCCCGAAGCGGCAGCACGAGGTGCCTGTGAACGTCGAGACCTTCTGTGGAGATAGATAACTGTGGAGAGCCCATTTTATGTTCTGTGGAGTCTACTGGGCTTTAAGCACTGTTTAAATCTTACTTGCTGTGAAGAGGGGCTGTTTCTCAAGTTAGAATGCAAGGATGGAAACCGAGGGGCACAGAGGCGGTGAGCAACGCAGACCACACTTCGGGCAATCACGGGGAGCTGGTACACAGGAGAGGAAACAGGGTTTGTGTGTGAGCGTGGAGCCAACATCATGAAGATTGGAGGTTGGGGTTTAGGAGGCGTGTTAGCAGACATCACACCTCTCTGGGTCCGTTAGGGATAACTCTGCGGCCTTTGGGAACCTTTAAAAATGAATAGTCTGTCCCTCACCGCCTCCTCCCTGGTACACAGGCTTCCACTGGCGCCCCGGAGCTCCCCTGTGCCCCCTCCCATCTGTAGTGCATGGCGCGTGGTGCCCCCAGGGCTCCAGGACAGGTCAGGCCCCACCTGTGTCCACCCGCATCTCCGCTGTGAATAAAGTCAGGGAAACGAGAAGGAAAAAAAAAGAATGATCTCTCAACGCCTAGAGAAAGGATCACTTGAGAGAAACAACTGCCCAGTGGCTGTGCTCAGTTTAGCATGCTCCTGAGAAACTTAAGGGGACAGACTCTGGGCATTATAGGGGCACGTGGAGGTTGTGACTGTTTATGGTAATGGAAGAGGCTGGCAGAACTGATGGTGGCTTCTACTGCTAGGAGCCAAGTAACAACAGCATTAAGCACTTGATGTCACCAAGTTAATTCGAAGACTGTCACACTGAAACGTGAGCTGAGAAAGCAGCAGGCATCAGGAAAGGAAGAATACATCAATTTGAAAATGATGAGAAAAGCTAAACACCGGCAAGCTTCTTAGTCCCCGTAATGACTTTGAAAATGCTTAATTGTGGTTCCGCCCGCACATCAAGTCCACCACTTCTAGGAGTGCGGGCACTGGCCTCCCACCGGAGGGTGGAGAACTACGTGGATTTTTCCCCGGGAGAATTTTCTGCTTTTTAATTTTGTGACTGAAGACCGTTTACTGGTTCAGCCAAAAAATATTTCCTGTCCACAAACACTGAAGCAATGATGTTTCTCTTTAAAGTTGGGTATGTGTGGCCAGCGATGCACACTTGGCTGTACTGAAATTCTCAATCTCTGGAGGATACAACAGACATGATACATGTTATGTGCTAGTTTTGAGGACAGAACAATCTGAATCGCTCATGTTTTATCCTCAGTGATGAATACTCTCTAAAAGATCTGGGGAGCCAAAACACACGTGCAACCTTCGTTTCTCCAGGGCTTCCCTCCTTGCCTGCCTTCGTCCGGGGGGGCAGCCTGTAAATGTGGATTAATTGAACTGTTTTCAGAGTGGTGATCTTAGGCAGGTGATCTCTGCCCTTCGCTCAGTTCATGGTGGCTGGCTGGCAGGACTCAAGTTGAGTCGTTAAGAAAGCAAAGGGATGGCTCCTTTACTGTCATTACTTACTTTTTGGCAGCTTTCGATGAATTCGTCTATGGTGACCACTCCATCTTTATTCTTGTCCATTTTCTGTTCAGGAAGAAAAGAACAAAAACCTTTCCTCAGACTTACCCCTTGATACCCTCGCACCCGAGCGAGCTGAAGCTGAGGGAAAGCAAGCCCGGCTGCTTGTTTTATGGGGAGGACCTGCTTCAGGGCATAAACTGGCAGTTTCTTAGTGACAAGAATAGTGGCTGACTGATTGGAAGCTGTTGCATTTCAACAGAATAGGGTGCAGGTTGAGGGTCACTCAGCCTTGGGTACAGTCCTGCCCTCCAGCTACAACAGAGTTCAGGCAACTTATTGAAACTTTCAGAGCCTTGATTTTCTCATCTGTAAGATGGGGCTAATGAGGATTTATAAATAACCTCATAGGGTCTTGTGAGAAATGAATGAAAACACCAAAAAAAAAAAAGCCACGTGAGACACGAAATTGCTTGGTGGTGTATCCAGGACATGATTAACATTCAGTAAGTGGAGTTATCAATATTATGATAAATTCAAGCCCAAAATTGCTAAATTAGTATGATAGTGTATGTTCTATAGTTTTGCCTCTTTCAGTAAAAGTTATTTTCCTTTCCATTCTTTTGAATTCTCATGATGCTCTGAAGCATCGGGAAATTCGTTCTCAAGTTCACTCCCTCTCTGATGTCTGTTGCGTTCCTACCTGGAAAAATGTTTCCACGTGTTGTCTGGGAGCATCTTCTTTGAGGACAGGATAGGTGCACTTACCCATCATATCATAGATTGCTTTCATTATGTCAAGCATTTCCTGAAAAGCAAAAGGCGCTCACGTGAGGCACATGCAACGTGTGAAGAAACCGCTCTGAGATCCTTTGACAGATTATTCTGACTCAATTTCAAATTTTTAATTTTTCCTTTGATTCTTCATTAAATGCCTTTTGGTTTTCCCACAGGAAAAGCCAATGGCCTTATACCTTAAAAGCAGCAGAATCAGAATGTAAGAATCAGTTCTAATTTTGGTTTCAAAATTAAGTAAATTCCCACATATTAACATGATCAGGAAAGAAACACTCTGGTTTAATACTTGGACTTCCACAGACTTCACATAGGCTAGCTTTGGTTCACTGAGTTCTTATACACTTTATAAGTTGATCAATTTCCATGTATTGAAAATAAAATAAATACCACATCATAAGAATTATACTAAAACTCAGTCTCAAAGCTCATTAGGATTTTCATTGTTTTTTTCCTATTATGGCTTCTTTAATGTCACACATGTAGATTAGTCAAAATATTATGACCCTGGAAACACTTTGAAATTTTAATTTTTTATTAAAACAAAATCTAATTTTGATTTGTAGTTTTCAATCTTAGTGAAAATACTGCATAGTTACTTAGACATTCAGATATATTGTTTACACTTGTTTTCTTCATATTGAAGTTTCTACATAAGAGTGGATTAAGATGGTAATATGGATGTAATATGCACTACTTCTGAGAGTATTCAGTTTCATTTTAAATGATCAAGCAGTTTGTAGTTTGTAGATTATAGGTGAAATCTTTTAAGACATTTTGAGTAAGAACAGAAGTATAGAAGTTTTTTTGACATAGAATTCATGAACTGAACTGGGTAAAAATGATTAGAACAGCAAGTTTATGTTAAATACAGAAAGGGATAGAAAACGATGAAAGGACCAAGAGGTACCTAATATTCTAGAGGCACCTGAGTACTAAGTGTCTATTATTTACCAAATATATAAGAGGCACTGACTATCCAGGATATGCTCAAGATACATGAAGACTTAATACCCATCAAGTCTTAACTTGGCCACCCATTGGTGAGACCCATTCTGGCCCCATGTGTCCCTCTGCTCAAGAAACAGATAAAACCCATGGCCACTGATCAGGTTAATTGTCACAGTAAAGCTGCAGTCAGGTACACTTGTCCCTGTGTCTTCAGTAGAGCAAGTTTATGTCATTGGCCCAAGATACATCTTATTTGAGGAGCCTTTTGCTCAAAACTCAACTCTGGAGAAAGTTAGTGAAAAAGAGAGGACACATGGACATTGAACCACATCTGGGTTCAGGTAATGTGGTCCTGCAGCCCTACCTTCACTCCATCCTAAATTGGTTATCTTACCTCGTCCCTCCCCACCCTGCTTATTGGTGTGTTTTAAATTAGTTTAATTAACCATTTGATATGAACATCTGAATTTGGTCTGTGAGCTTCTTTCTTAGACATCTTGTCTGGAAGTGTATTTGGGACCCCACCATTGCATCAGGTCAGTTCCCACACAACACACGTCACTACTTAATCCACACGATTTAAAAATTGTGTCTGTTTCCATATGGACCATGTTACATGGGAGAAAAAAAGTGTTACAGGCCAAATATTCTACATCCAAACACGGTTTGGATATATTTTCTTCCTATCTGATTCTGAGTGCTTTATTCCATGTACAGTGTTTGTTAAAATGCTATTAGGAAATCCGGATGTAATCCTTCCATGTTTTATATTTATTTTGCAGATTAGCCATAAACTATTTCTACCCATTCCAAAATTGTCATCAGACTTTCTCCACCACCACACAAAATATTTTAGACTTCCCCAAAGAGTGATTTTTAAACATAGTTGCAATTGTTTGACACTTTGAAGTTAAAAACTGGGAATGGTCTGGAGGCTAGCTGTGTTGGTGAGGCATTTCTTACTTCTTTAGTGATGTAGCCATCTTTATTTATGTCATACAAATTAAAGGCCCAGTTGAGTTTTTCTTGTACTGTCCCCCGAAGCAAAATAGAAAGACCCTTGATGAAATCCTAAAAAGAAATAAAAATACAATTTGATATGGCATTTCTAAGAAGAAGTAAAACACACACTCTAATGAAATTCTCTCTCAGATGACGGAAGCAAAGGTTATAACCTTCTGGACACCATAAATTTCCTAGAAGAAAACATAGGCAAGACATTTGCTGACATAAATCATAGCAATGTTTTCCTAGGGCTGTCTACCAAGGCAATAGAAATAAAAGCAAAAATAAACAAATGGGGACTAATTAAACATACGCTTTTTTGCACAGCAAAGGAAACTATAAACAAAATGGGAAGACAACCTGTGGACTGGGAGAAAATATTCGCAAACAGTGTGACTGACAAAAGCCTAGTTGCCAGGATATACAAACAGCTCACACAACTCAATCACCAAAAAATCCCCGAGCAACTCAGTCAAAAGATGGGCAGAAGACCTAAACAGACAATTCTCCAGTGAAGACATACAAATGGCCAATAGGCACATGAAAAGATGCTCAATGTTGCTAATTATCAGAAATGCAAATCAAAACTACAACGAAGTATCACCTCACACCAGTCAGAATGTCTATCAAAAATTCCACAAATGATAAATGCTGGAGAGGGTGCAGAGGAAAGGGAACCCTCCTATGTTGGTGGTGGGAATGTAATTTGGTGCAACCACTATGAAATCTCCAGTATGGAGATTCCTTAAAAAACTAGAGTTACGATATGATCCAACAACCCCACTTCTGGGCATATATCTGGAGGGAACTCTAATTTGAAAAGATACATGCACCCCATTGTTCATAGCAGCACTAGTTACAATAGCCAAAACATGGAAACAGCATAAATGCCCATTGACAGATAACTGGATAAAGAAGTTGTGCTATATATACAATGGAATACTACTGAGCCATAAAAAAGGAATAATCCCATTTGCAGCAACATGGATGGACCTAGAGATTATCATACTAAGTGAAGACAAAGACAAATACAACTTATCACTTATATGTGGAATATAAAAAAATGACACAAATGAACTTAATTTACAAAACAGAAACAGACTCACAGACATAGAAAACAAACTTATGGTTACCAAAGGGGAAAGGGCAGTGGGGAAGGATAAATTAGGAGTTGAGATTAGCAGATACAAACTATTATATGATAGATAAGTAACAAGGTCCTACTGTATAGCACAGGAAATTATATTCAATGGTTTTTAATAACATACAGTGAAAAAGAATATAAAAATTATATATAGAGAGAGTTATATATGTAACTCTAAGACAATGGAAAAGTCAGTTTATGATCCTTCTACACCCACACTGGAATTTATCATTTGTAGACTTTTTAATGATGCTCATTCTGACTGGTGTGAGGTGATGCCTCATTGTAGCTAAGAAAAAAAATGTATATATATTTGTGTATATATATATATAACTGAATCACTATGCTGTACACCAGAAACTAACACAACATTGTAAGTGAACTATACTTCAATTAAAAAAAAAAAGATGTAATGACACTCTTTGGAATTGTGCAGTACTAAACTTGCAAACTATATATAAGCTTTGGCTTTTTAGGAAGGCATGAATAAAATAATCCCTGCAGAACATGGGAAACTAGGCATATCAGAGAAAGACTGATGGGCAATTCTGAAAGGCCAGATGAGGCTGATGGTTATTGATATAAACCTGACTTGTTGCTTCAAACCACAAAGTAATAGTTACATGCCCTTAGTTGAAAAGGGGGGCTGGATACAAGATCTTTGAAGACACGCTTAGAACCTCGGTTCTCAAAATTTAGCTTGCTGCAGGGTCACCTGGAGGGCTTGCTAAACCAGCTTGCTGGGCACCACCCCCAGCGATTCTGATTCATTAGGTCTGGGGTGGGGCCCAAGAATTTACAAATTCCAAGGAGATGCTGACACTGCTGGTCCAGGGATCCCACTTTGAGAACCACTGGCCTGCAAGAATCATCACCGGCTTTGGCCCCATCACCAAGCAGAACAGACCAGTGCAAGAATGAGACGTTTAAAAGACCACACTTGTAAAGTCACGTGTGGACTTTTGTCGTTTGCCTCCCTAGTAGGCCCCTAGTTTCCATCGGTGCTTCATCCAGTTCTGTGAAGCCCACTCCATCTGTGCTCCAGTGACAGAGCTGTGACCGGGGCAAAGTCAGGAAGCACGTTTTTTCCCTTTCTTTGGTCAAGGTGGTTGCATCTGTGGTCGGCCCCTAACTGCACGCAGGCCACCTGAGTGATTTTTCAGGACTTCTGCTAGGAACCGTGTGACAGGGATTCTCTTCCTTCCTTGCTGACATGAACGATCAAGCTTGGAACAATCAGGTGCTGGCATCTTGCAACCAGGAGGGAGTGCACCCTTAGCCACCCTGGCCTGGAGCCAGCCCTATCTCTGGACTTCCTGTTCCTCTGAGCCAATACAGTTATCATATTGTTTTTGTTAGTTAGCATATGATTTTCTATTATCTGTGAACAAAAGTACCCTGATTCACAATCATCCGATTCACATCTTCCTCTTAAACACTGTATATCCTGAAACTACATACACTGAAAGATAGCTATGAACCTTGAGCACCCCTCTCTTTTAATATACCATCCTGGTATAATAAATAGTTATTCCAAAACAGAAACAACCCCTTATTTGTGTGAAAGGAAAATGAAAGATTCCAGGTATCTTATTCAAGTTTCTGCTCTACATTTTTCTGAATGGTAATTGTAGTATGTCAAGCAGGAGTTACAAGGCTTAAAATAAAAATAAACAGCTCTAAAGAATACTTCACATCATTACCTTACTTTTGTCTATGAAGGGTTACAACTGTTCCCCAATGTACAAAAATGGTAAGTGGGGATCCATACTGAATTCTGGTTTCTAATGTCTTATGATAAAGGCAGAAGAAGAAAAAAGGCATAGAGATTTGACCTGATAATAACCCAGCCCTGTTCTGTAGTGAGCTTTATTTATCTACCAAACCTTTACTTGGTGCCTTAGTGCTGGGTACTGTGCCAGGAACATCCGTTCTCCTGCGTGGGAGGCGGTCATCAAGAGGACATGACCGCAGGCAGGACCCAGGCAATCGGAGGGTCTTACCCCTTCCCCCGACCTTGGATCATCCATCCTACCCACCATTCCCACCCTAGGAGCTGCATCAAGGACCCAGCCTTGTGAGAGCATGTGTCATCGAGACCATCTGACGGTGTGCATGACTGAACTCAGGTCAGGCCTCTGTGCACACTTCTGAGATTCTGGTGGGCAGGTTATACTCACCTCGGGGCCGCCCGAGACAAGCCTCCTATGGAAGCTCCCTGGCTTACTAAACCTGCTGCCTACCTATCTGGAGTGACCCACCTTTTTCTCCTGTCTCTCCTTACCCTCTGGGTATGGGGGCCAGTTCCGAATTTCACCTGGTGAACTCCAGAGGTTGCAAACCCAATCCTACAGCCCCACCTGCCACTCAAAGAGCTGCATGGCTTAAAATTATGTGTTTGGGGGTATTCGCAATAAACAGTCCTGTTTATAGATTAAGTGACTCCCTAAATCTTAAAAAAAAAAGGTTAACTAGATATCTAGATAAACAGTGATAGACGCAGTATGGAAAAGCATACATGTGTTTAGTGTCTTTCTTGTTTTATGCTTGCTTTCATATTTTCAAGAAATTTTTTTCAGGTTTATTTCCTCTGGTATGACCTCCCTTGATTGGGGTTAAATTCATATAGTGGTTGAACTATTATTTAGAGTATTTGAAAGATTCAATTTCAGGTACTACCTAAAGCTTACATTTGTTTGGAACTAAGAAGAGATATATCAACATGTCTGAAAAAGGACAAGGAGTATATTTCCCAAGATTTGTAGCCTGATTTTATTACCTGGTTTTATCAGGTGAAAGAGATAATATACTTATCTTGATTGATACACAATTCTATTTAGGTAATTTAGTGCCTTGAAAGGTGATTAAGTTAAATTAATTAGTTAAATTTAGCTAATTATAACATATTAAATAAAGTTAAATGGTTTGATCTCACTGAAGGCCATTAAAAATTAACAAATTTTAAAATAAAACTTACAAATATAAATATATAATAAATGTGTGCATAAATATAACTGTTGCTTTATGTAATAAATACAGAAAACTGTAGAAGAAAATTGCAGTCACACATGATCTTATCACCCTTTCTCGTTGAACACACCCTTTCTATTTTTATGTGTACTTTGGCATGTAGTTACGGTACAAGTCATGTGTACACATAATTCTGTATAGTTTACTTAAATTACAAGAACTTTCCAACATCACTGGCAACTCATTGTGACATCACTTAAATAACAGTATCTTAGGTTTAACCATATGAAATTGCTCCTATTTTGCATCATATTTGCCAAGAATTTCATATGATAATTTCACATGGTCTAATCTAATAATATCACAAAGGCTTTTGAACATTTTGGACCCAAAACCACAATAAGAAGTACATTGTAAATAGCAGCTTAATACATAAGAGCAAACACACACACACACAGAGTATACACCAGAAACTAAAGTTATTACTCTTATTTCATTTCTCTATTAACTTTTTAATATTCTTGTCAATTAATCTCTAAATTGATTTTACCACCTGCTAATCGTTGCAATCTGGAGTTTGAAGCCCTGCTCTGTCTTATGCATATGTTGTGATTGATTTAGCCATTCTTTTCTACTGTTGGATATTAATTTAAATTTCTTTTTTATAAGTGATGCTATGGGAAACATTTTTCTCCAGCTATTTCCCATCATTTTGACTTATTTCCCAAGGAAAGATGTGGAATTTCTGGGCTAAAGGGCCCTGGGAACACTGAAATTTAATAGTAGTCATGATGACAGTTTATTGAGAAGTGTATAGGGCCCAGTATTAGGCAATTTCTAGGCATTATTTTATGTCAGTCTCACACAACCATAGGGAACAGGTATTGTCATCTTTATATTAAAGATGGAGGCTCAGAGAAAATATTGGATTGACCCAAGGGATACAGCCAGT